GCTGCTACCGCTGCTACTGCTGCTAGTGCTAGTGCTAGTGCTAGTGCTAGTGCTAGTGCTAGTGCTAGTGCTAGTGCTAGTGCTAGTGCTAGTGCTAGTGCTACTGCTGCTGCTGCTTTTGCGATTATCATTCTTGTATTATCACGACTATTAATAAACAGTATTGTCCTTTTTCTGACTACTGCTGTCATCGTTTTTTTGTGTAACTTTTATTTTGTATCACTACTGCTCCTCTTCCTGTTCTTGAGTCCGCTTAAAGCTGAAAAACGCATCACGAGCAACACATCACACCAAAATTCAAAGCCATATCGCACCATAACATGCGCATGATGCTGCGCAGGGCGTCGAAGCGAAGCTTCAAGGTCAAAATTCGCAAGATATTCCCCATGGGCATGAAACCAAGCTGTAAAAGTACATGCCCGAGATGCTGGAAAATTTTCATCGAGGTGATATATGGACATCACGACACGTGAAAAGCTTGAGCCTTGTTCGTCATGGGGTGCAGAAAGGCAAACTGCAATCGCTCTGTCCCACACGGCGTATTCAAAAGGTCAATGAGTTCACACTCGTGGTGTTGAGAGGCCTCTCTGCCTCAGAGTAATGTCTCATGAGGGCAGAGCTCCTGACTCCTGCCGACAACTGGCTAAAGAGGCCGGTGAAGGCAATCCGTCCCAAGTACACAACCTCCATTTGCCTGCCTGCATGGCTCCCACCTGCGTAGAGCAGCTGCAGCTTTGGTAAGGGTCAGGCTGCGGCCCTAATATCAGCTGGAAGGAGTTGCAAGGGTTGCTCTGCGAACTGCCAACTGACAGTGCGTCAAGCTTGTCGGCAAGTGACCAGGCACTTTGTCTACCATGAAATCCAAGGTAAACGAGTTGGTCGACCCAGTCCTGCAGCAAAAACTGATGGGTTCCTGAGTGGGCAGATGTGCATAATTCTTTTATGTGCTTCTGTTTTTAGCCGGGAGTGGGTTGGTTCGCAGCCGCCCGGTCCCAGGTGAGCTCTACAAAGGCCTGTCGAGTCTGGAGAGCTGCGCAGAAGCCGGCGTGACAATTGATGAGTGGGTGGATGACTGGGGGAGGTCCGAAGTGCTCGGTTGCCCGGGCAGCGTATTTCAGCACCCGCACACAGGGCCTTGTGACGAAGTCCGCCCAGGGCGCACCATTCATCATGAGTGGTTCGGTATGAATGGGCAGTACACCTTCCTCAGCTTCCACTGCCTCGACCCACGCTATCATCAAGAGCATCCAACCAGGAGTTCAGGCGAAAAGGTTGGTGGAAGCGCTTTCCGCTTTGATGACATACCGGACGCGGCTTCTGAAAACCAGCTGTGGAACCTTCTGCCAGGCGGCTATTGCGCAGCCAGCTGGGCAATTGTGATTTGTTGTTTACTTGAAGCGTGCAATAGCTTTGGTGGAAACCGCCTGTGGCTGTCTCTTGCGTTTGATTCACCAAGGCCGTCATGCATGAACGTCTCTGGTTGCTGGCTCTGAACTTCGCGTTGTTTTTCTGCGGAGCTGCCCTGGAATTCTTCTACTGGTGTAAGTGCTGCTGCTTCCGCCCCGCGGTCGAATGACAATGAGGACGCTATCAGCTCTAATTAAAGCTTGCAGCACCAATCGCTGCCTGCGGTCTGAGGCAAGCTTGTCAAACCTCCTAGACACCGCCATCCTGCTCACGCTCGCGCAGCTGACAGCCAGGTGAGATCCCAGAGAAAGTTCTGTGAAATTGAGTTGGCCATGCCGGTCAGGTGCTGCTCGAGGCAGAATCACCTTCCAGGCAGGAGTATGGAGGGCTGTTTCATGAGCGCGGAAAGGCTCTCATCCCGGCTGCCTCAGGACCGATGCCATCGAGCTAGGGCGACTTGAGGAGCCAGCAGCGGACGTGCAGGATGCCAACAACGTCGTCAAGGCATGACATGCCAGTGCACGTGGAAGATGGGAGCGGCGATGCAGCGTATTCCCAGCAGCCAGGCAGAGACACCACTGCTCCTTCCGGACGAGATGTCGAAAGGAGCTGCCGAGGCAGGTTGGCCAATCGAAGACATTGCTGACGAGGTTTGTGTATGCGTGTGGATACCTGCCAAGGTCATGATCTGTATGACCGCCAGCGTGGTTCGTGAGGGCAAGGTGCAGTTCACCACCGACACCCTTCGTCACAGCGCTGAATCATGTATCGTGCACAACACTCGCAGTAGGCCTAGGATGTTCCATTCGTTAGCACGGGAAGCACTCGAGGCCAGGGCTGTGCAAAGCCGTGAACAAATTGCAAGTGCCATCTCATAGTCTGGCCTGACCTCACCCAGGTTTCTTTGCCGAAGCACACGTGAAGACACAGTGCCGGCGCTTGAAGCTACAGGCACGCTGCATCAAGACGCATCAAAGGAACGGGAGAGTCGTGGTGAATTTTTCAGGTAGAGGCTGAAGGACATGCCTTGGATGCAGAATTCACTGGGCCCGGACGCTTGTCACGGGAGGAATGCATTGGGAAGGTATCGGCCCAAGCTTAAGGCGTCCTTGGTATTACTTGCCGGACCTTAGCAAGAAGAACTGAGGCAATGGCGAACATCCATGCTCGCGTCTTGGAGGGCTACTTTGTGTGCGACCCCTACGGGCGTGCCGATGGCCTTGCAGAATTGTGGACTGCCTGCTGTGATGAGTTTGTGATGACCCAGGTGGCTGGAAGCACAGCGCGACCTCAGAAACAAAGAGCAGCGGCTGAAAGCCATGCTTGGCATCGAGCCATCCAGAAGACGGCCTGCTTGGATGTTGTTCACCGAAGCCGCGCCTTGGACGTCATCCGAGCGCATGCGGACTTGCTAGGGCGACTGGAGGCGCTTCTGTGTCCTCCCGCAGGCAGCCCTCCGTGTCGTGGAAAGCTTGTCGGAGCATGCGCTGTGCGAGCCTCTGACTTGGCCGGTCATATGTTCAAATCAGACGGTGAGCCTGGTGTCAGGCATTCGCCGGAGTTCATCTCCATGATGTTCCATAGCATGCGTTGGGTAGAGTCGCTCTCAGACGACAACGCAGCTCAGCATTGTATGCTGTAACCTTCAGAGAAGGGCATCTAGTCCCACTGCCCGCTTGCATCCGCATGTCTGGTGCCATGCAGCAGATACACCCAGGCATTCCTTCCGGACAGTGTGCGCTTCACAGTGGACACTTTGAGCACATAGAGTGGAGGCATAGGCTTCACGGTAACGTGACATCTGTGAGCACATGGCCAAACACCCAAGGATTACGATGCACTTCACTACGGAGTGGATGCTATGAGAAAGAACACCAATCCATTCACGGGAGGTGTGAACTTCGACGACTCTTGGAAGTAATGTTTGCAAGGCCTGGTCAAGACATCATGATCTGGGAGATTGAGTGCCAAGGACATAAATGATCTGGGAGAAGCACGGGCTGAAGTCGATGTCAACACCGTGCAGAAAACGTTCCTGGAATCGACGCCTCCTGGCAAATGCAGTTTGCAGCATTGGGTGTAACTTGATGGAATGCGGTGCGCTGCAAGGTCGTGGCGGGTTTTGTACGATCTGCTTGACAACTTTGGGCCTGCCTCTTGACAGCAAGCCACCCTCTTCGTAGAGTGGATGTGGCTTGTCGCACCCAAAGGCATTCCACGATCTGTTTGCGTTTGTGCAGGTTTTCACTGTGAAGCTTTGGATCTTCTTCATGGCCTTTTATGTGCATCTTGGCTCGCTGCCGGACGAGTCCTTAGCTGACAGGGTGGCTGCGTCATGCGGGCCGATGTGGGTGTATGCAGTTTCCATGTTTTTGCTTTTGGATCTCATGCCCCTCTGACGGGACAGTCCTTCTGTGGAACTGAGGATCAGAACGACAGCTTTTTCAGTCCCAGGGGCAGCCGGTCAGATGCTGTGCAGATCATGGCTCTCCTAGATGCCAGCCTGCTAGTGTGGCTTCGATGGAGACCAGACAAAGCTTTTTAACCGTTACATCTGGCTATTGCACCCGTGCAGTGAGTTTTGGGACCCGAACGACGAGTCCTAGTTCCGAGTCCTAAGCCCTCCGTGTGCCCAGAAGGCTAGGCTTGCAATAGTAGTGTGCCATATTGTACCCGGCCTGGCACTTAGTCCCCACCTCGAGGCTGAGCAAGCAACCGAAGGCAAAGTCTCAAGAGAGAGTTGCCCCGCTCCCTCTCTCTGTCTCTCTCTCTCTCTCTCTCTCTCTCTCTCTCTCTCTCTCTCTCTCTCTGAGAGCGCTCTCGAGTCCGAGGCTCGCGGAGCTGGGTTTGCTCTGGCACGGCTTGGCTCAGCGGCGCCTCTGCCGGAGCCCGGGCCGCTTCTCCTCGCAAGTGAAGCGCACGCACCGGCGCTGGGCACGGAGGCGGCCAAAGGTCCCAAAAGGACGAGCAGAAGTGTAGAACTGCAGAACGCCTCGGCGACACTACAAGATCAGTTGATGGTCCACTAGAAAGTTTGGATAGAAGGGTACAGCATTTTATGTATTTTGGTCGAATGCAGCTCAGTATGCACTAGCCGTTAATTTGAGAAGAGAACACCATGAAGCAAGCAGTGTGGATGATTCTCATGAAATATTCCTGTCGTCCTCATCGTGGATGGGGTGTTGGTCAAAACGTCCTTAAAAGTCACTGCCCGAACGCAGGTCTAAGCCTGTTGCAATTTTCGCATTGATCCCCACATCTGCGTCGCAGTAGCAGCAGTGGACGCTTGGAGGCGTGTGGTAGTGGTACTGCTAGTGGTAGGGCTGGTAGAGGTAGCGGTAGCGGGGTAGCAGAGGTAGTCGTAGTCAGCGTAGAGGAATAGGCGAAGTCGTCGCTGTCGGCTTGGTTGTCGTCTTGGTGCTGGTCGACCTGGTAGGACAGAGACGGAGGAAAGTCTTTGGGCTGATTGTGGAAGGGCTTCCGGTTTTGTGCTTGAGACTTGTTTTGTTCGACTCAGTTTTCCTATTTGTGACACGTCGAGGCGGCTGCTGTCGGTGATGCTCGGATGTGGGAGCCTTGGGGCAATGGTGGTTTTTGGCAAAGTGGGCCGAAACCTTTGCAATCTGACTCCAGAGGAGTCCTTCCAGAAGGACTGGTATCGAAACATGTAATCAACACTTTGGCAACTGGTGACAGGTCAGCGCACAGATCTTGTCAAGACGTTTGCAGGAGAAAGACTGCTCAGACGAGTTTGCCGTGCTTTGCTGCTCCGGGGTGGCACAGTTCGTGAGGCAGTTGAGTCTTGAATGAGATCCGGGCAGGCTTGCAAGATCTTGCAAGCCTTGGCTAGGAGGAGGAAAAGGTTTGCGATTATCGACACGCCATGCCGGCATGAGGCTTCTGAGGCAGGAATGTTCGTGGAGAGTCGGAAACTGCGTTTAACGGGTTTAACATGCCTGGGGTTAAGATCAGAGGCGGACCACGTGAGATCAGCCTTCGGCTCTGAAAAACTCAGGTTGCGCCTATGCAGTGGTTCGACTACTGGTTTTCTTTGTCTTCAGCCGTCGTCGCAACATCCCTTTCGTCCATGGCACGCCAGCGGACTTGAAAGACAAGAAAGCAAACCAGCCGACGGTGCCAGATGTGCAGGCAGACCAGGACGCATCCTTTTATGTGGTTCTGTTTCAGTTAGCATTCAACGGAGAAGTGCTGGAGTGTATTGGGCATGTCTGTCTGCCTGCCTGCCTGCTTGCCTGCGTGCCTGTATGCCTTCCTGGCCGCCTGGCTGGCTGGCTGATGGCTGTCTGTCTGTCTGCCTGCCTGCCTGCCTGCCTGACCACACCTTCTGTCCACACATATAACCAGATGGATGTGTGTGTATGTATGTGTATGTAAATCATATATATATATATATGTATATATATATATACACATACATACACATGTACAGATGCACGTGCATACATGCACGTGCGTCTGTAAGTATGTAAGCCTGTATGTCGAGCGCGAGTACCAAAAAGTATGTAATTAAGTATGTATGTGTGGATGGGATGGACGAGGGAGGGATTAAGGGAGGGATGGCCTGGATGGATGGATAGATGGATCGTTCATTTGTTTAATTTCCTCGTTTGTTTGCTTAAGTGCTTGCAGATCAACCAAGTGGTTGCACGGTGCACGATTTCACTCATTTTTCGCTGAGTTGGCACGTTCCAGCCTTAATCCATGCAAAGACAGCCCCAGGTTTGAAACTTCAGTGCTTGGTGTGCAAGGGTCATGCTTTTGCCATATCGCAGTGGTGCGCACCTCGATCGTCGATTCTTTTCCTTACACGGAAGAGTTTGGCAAGACCCTTTGTGAATGGGCTCAGCTAGGGTGGGCTGAGAGCACCATGAGCATGAACTGCTGGTCAACTTTACTCATACAGCTAGGATTCGACTGCCCGTCAACATTCACAAGTTCCGGCAAGGGATTCTCGAGGCATATGACGTCTCGAGACCTTTCCAACCTGCTTTGACTTGGCTCCGCAAGCGAGGTGTCATGGGGCACAGCCGTTCCACCAAAGGAGGCATCATGTGAAGCATTGTTGCCTGGTTGCCCAGTGGATCCCAGGGTCACACTGCAAAAGATCTGCATGCAACGCCCTGCCAGCCATTGGAGGCTTGAATTTCATGTCCACCCGGAAGATTGAACAGTTGTTTTACTAGTAACTTCGTACAGCCCTCGGCGGCTTCAACTTGAAATGCTGTGTCTTTGTTTTGCGATGAGTGACACGTCCATGTAATGGTGGGGTGCGTTGGTGTGTATGTGGGTAGGCATGTGGGCATGTATGCAGCTGGGCAGGTCGGAAGGCAGGTCGGCACGCAGGCAGGCAATCAGGCAGGCAGGGAGGGAGATATATTGATGGGTATGTATGTATGTATGTGGGTTTGTATGTATGTATGTATGTATGTATGTATGTATGTATGTATGTATGAATACATGTACACATGTATGTTTACATATTTATATATGTATATATGTCTATGTGTTTTGATATTTCATCTGTTTGTTGTTTTTCGAATAGTTTGGGAATTTTATAAACACCTGGACATGTTCACGGACAAACGGACGGATGGACGGACGGACATACACGCAGACATGCATGCATAGTATCTATGTGCATTTCTGGTGGTGCCTTTGACATGCTCTTTGTGCGTACCAGGAGGCAAGCTCAGACTCTTTCCTGACCGTGGTTGCCGATGACGCACCGGACCCTGTGGAAAAGGACTGGCTCCTTACAAAAGAATGCTCGTTCAATGCTGATAGTGCAAGAGATTCGCAGATGTGATTCTGACAGGAGGGCAAGGGATCTGCTCCACTGTTTGTCTGGCTGTTCGTGCTGGCACTGTGCCTGCGGCAACAGAAATGGTTCGTGATCTGCCAGCTATCCTCACATAGATCCACCAGGTTTCTCCCAGTATCGGTAGCGGTTCCATGCACCTTTCCAAGGTTTCCGAAGCGGCGTGGGAAAAGTGGCGCACCCCGAAATAGGGCGCATGGAGAACAAAACATCTGTTCAGTGTGACATGTAGCCGGCATCCCTGAATCACCACACACGACCTTCCGAACTTGTGCACAAGCTGTGTGTGGACCATCTTTCGCGGGGCTGACAGGGTTGATATTGGACTAGCGCCCAGCAAGAAATAACTAAGTTCTTTATGATGCTCTGTCTCTCTATAACTCTCTCTCTCTATAGATAGATAGACAGATAGATAGATAAATAGACAGATAGATAGATAGGCGGTAGATACATAGGCAGATAGATAGATAGATCGACACCTCGAGACGCTGCCGCAATTTCGTGTGCAAGTAAGCAGTGCTCTGGTCCCATGCCTCGCTCCCTCCCTCACTGGCGCCGAGTTCTGTGGATGGGGCGTCGAAGGGTCGAGTCGTAAGTTGCGACTTCTCGCGTGGCACCCATGCCACAGTAGACTCAGATCGGTGCCAATGGGCATGTGGAAAGCAGATCGTTTTGCGACCTAGTAGCACCAGAGCTTCTCGACATCACTTGGAGCCAGAGACGGCCTTGCTGCCACTTGCGCGTTTCTTAATCTTGAAGCGTTTCTTTCGTGACCTTTGTGCTGAGGTGCTTCGGCTTTGAGACATTCTTCGTTGCCCCTCTCGTATCTGGCTTTTCCTTCAAGGGCTTTTGCGGGGAATCCTGTTCGAATCGGCTCTTCGCCTGGGCTGTGCACGTGCCTGGCGTGGGGGAAATACATCCGCTACCGTCCGAATGTGCGCCTCGGAAGGCAAAGGATTTGACATGACCTTCTCATCTCAGAAAGGGCTTTCAAATGGACCTGCGTGGGTGACACCTTGACACCCCTTCGGATGTGAGGCAGCCTGTGGCCTGACCATCATTGCCATCTATGCGCTGGTGGGCATGACAGCCTTCCTTGACTTGCATCCCGACTTGTGTGGTGTTGTCTTTAGGCTTCTAACTGTAAGGCTTGGAATGACATGTTGTGCCTCTGAGCGAGGCAAAACGGGCTCATGTCCGAAGCATGTCCCGCAAACCTTTGCTTAGTTCTGACGTGCCGACGAGGCACTTCCTGTTCTACCTGGTCATTGGGCCCCTTTGAATGGTTGGTCGAAACAAGCTTTTTCCAAACCCCTCTCTCCTGAGGATTGGGGGATACGCCATGGGCGAGCATCGAGGATTACGCAACGTAGTGTCGTCTGCGCTAAGGCACCCGGAAAGCATCCGTCCCGCTGTTAGGTTTTGTACCTTGTCGTGCGATTCAGTGCGGTGCAAATATACGGGAAGGCAACTGGACCTGGATGCGAGTGCACGCAGACAAGAGATTCACGAGAACGAATTGCGCGACATGATAAGTGACGGTCGGGCGATGGATGCTCGTCTTCATCGTCTTGTCTTGATTGCATGAGGGGCGACCAAAAGCAACCTTGTGCTAAACCCGAGGAAGCTGTTTTCGGAAGCGCCTGGCGTCTAGTTTGGAGCTGTGCCGTGGAGTCCCTTTATGATGCTCCTCGGCCAGATTTTTCGTTCGCCCTGGGTCGAAACGGAAGTGCATGACAACTCAGGATTGCCTGATCTCCGAAGCAATGGCTAACAGCATGGTATCTTGGCTTTGGTCTTGCGTAGCAAGTCAGTCCTGCTTGACTCAGCATGCAGGTGAATGCCGCGCACACCTTCCGCTGGCGTGATAGCACGGCTTCCAAGAAGCAGTTCGCCCAGATGTCCCAGTGTTTCTTGGCTGCAATCTTAACTCGCCCTTCGTACTTCGCGTCTGAATTGTGTGAGCAGGTTTTACCAAGCTGCGCTTCCGAGCCACACAGCTTCGTGGAGGCTCCTGGCAGCAAGCCGGACGGAGTTGCTGCATCTCTGAGCTGCAGGCTGCGAGGGACGAGGGGCTAAGTTGGTGAGAAGTGTAGTTGATTCTTAAGCTTGGGCTGCCCGGGTCTCGTGGCAGGTAATTCACGGGGCAAGAAGTCGACCCAAGTCATATCCGGTGCAAAAATGGGCTGTGAAGCAGGCTGGTTGGGGCACACTCATGCCCTCGTAGCACTGCTCGCTCAGGTTGCGCTCGTAGTAAGGCGGGATAGCACCAGGTCAAAGTTTCTACGCCAGCCGAGCATGCGGAGCTCATGGAAGTCCTCGATGACAGGCTCATAGCCACTGCAGAAGTCCCAGGCGCCAGCTGTCATCAGCATGTTCGGACGCGGGCGGTTCCAGTGCTTGGTGTGGCCAGTTGTATTTGCGTTCGACGGCACCCGGGCACGCAGTAGTGTTGGTGCCCCTTTGCCGATAAGGCCACCTGTCCACCACAGATAGATGCCAGATCACGTCTGAATACTTGGAGTCCAAATGAAAGGGTGTGACATGGGGCTCGGGATGTCGTTCTGTTGCTTCCCGGAAGTGACCGTTTCCAAAGTCCGGCCCCAGCTCGGCGTTCGTTCCCACTTCAATGAGCTTAAGAGCGGAGTCCACTTCTGCCGACCTATCAGTGCTGGCTTTTCGGTCAGCCTCTAAGACTCCAAGCTGCGAAACGTAACCCTCTTGTCAGCAGCTTTCCAAACTCTTTCGGTTTGGGTTCTTCACCGATAGAAAGCAATTTTGACATGCATGATGAAAATGGTGTCATCGCCCGCAAACCATGCCGTCGTTGCCAGTGCAGTTTATGTCTGTTATCAGTGTGACCCTCGGCTGCAGAGCAAGGCTGTTCAGTTTGGCTCGATTCGCGCAGGAGTTGCATGGGTCCAGCTTCTCCCCTCGTGCACTTTACAAAAGCAGTGATGCCGTGTTATCATTGGAAGCAGTATTCAGGATGCCTTCCACTACCCTGATGTAGACTTCCTCTTGTGGAAGTCTTCGCAGGCCTTGGTGTCCAGAGTGGCTGGCAGCTGCTTTCTCGTGGGCCGTCTCAGGTACCGAATGGAGTAGGCCCGGAAGCTGTGTGCCTGCCACAGTCAAGAGAGACCGCTTGGCTGTCAGCTTCCGGGACGAGCACTCCGAACAGGGTGCCCCTTGGCGACAATTCCGGGCTACTTCCAAGTAGATCTTACCAGGTGACGATGCGTTCTGTGCTCTCTGCAGGTCGGTATCCAGTCGTGGTAGTGCACAGGCGACGCCATTGCGGAGAAATCTGACAAAGGCTGAAGACCTGGTCGCGCTGAGGAATGCCAGCAGTTTTCGCTTCCCTGCAGATCTGGAGTTCACTCACCCGGAAGAGTATCGGGAGGTTATGGTGGAATTTAATAAGCCACGCTGCATTTCCGCCATCTCATTTTCGACTACTTCGGATGACCGTCAATTCGATCCGATATGCTGGGAGATAGATGGCTCCATGGATGGTCAGGTGTGGATGAGGCTGCAGACACAGCAGCGAGAGTTTGACACCCCAGCAGAGCGGCGCGAGCATGTTGGAACGTATTTCGCGTCGGAGCCGTGGCGGAAACAGGGTGCCCTTGCGTCAACGCAGGTTGACCTTCAGAAGGTCCCGTCTTGCGTCAGCGAACGACTCTGCTTCTTCGCGAGCTCTCTGCGTGCTCTCCTGAAGCAGAGCATCCGACCAGGATTTCAGATTCGACCAGGCCGCGATACATTGCTGGACAGCAAGGCCGGAGCAATTCCGACCTTGACCCAGGTAGTCCCGGTCTACGAAGAGCAGGTCATCCTGACGGAGGAGTTCCTGTGTGCCTCCGATGGCCGCAACACGAACCTGGGCTTCCTCATCGCACAGGCCCGAATTGCAGAAAATTGAGTTTCATTTAAGGAGTCGAAACGCAGCTTCGACGCACTCCGCTTCTCAGTAATTGAAGCTTGTGTTTCAGAAGGCAGAAGACCAGTGGGAGATTTTCACTCGCAAGCATGGCATGGAACCGCGAGAGCTCTTCAATGCCTTCGTGCTGGGTGATCTCAATGAGTGGGCACGACGGGCTGAGATGAATCAGGAGGGTCCATTGGGGCGCGGTGTGAGCGATTTTCCGAGACTGTTGGCTGTGCCCTGTGCCTTTAGGACCCGGATCTCCTGGAGGAAATCCGAGAGCTCCACCTGCAGATTCGGCTTTGGGCATCCCAGCGATCTCAGACCCTCGGCCTGCTCTCGAGTGCTGTGAAGCCCCGGCACAGAAATCTCATTGCCTCTTTGCGCGTCTGGTGAAAGGACCGTCTACCGCACCGTCGCCGGGGCCATTGAGTACCACAAGGTCTTGGAAGCTCAGCTGCTAGAGCCAGGTGCAGCGTGCACAGGCGTCACGCGTGCTGTGCGACGAGAGCATTCGGGCCCCCTGTGTTGAGCTGGCTTTCCGAGGACATGCTCCCAGCGGTCCAGGCATCTGACAGCCCGCCCAAGACCCTGGCAGGACTTGCAGGGAGACTGAAATCAATCGCTATCTTGGCCCGTGCCAGCTCATTGCATGCAGGCTTGGTGCAGCTGTTCATCGCTCACCAAACCTACGGCAACAAGAGGTACAAAGAGAGTGTGGACCAAGACATGAGACGACTCCTCCTGCAGTATCGGCACTATCCTGTCTACCTGGTATGCTCCTGGATGGCAGTTCAGATGATGTAGCAACCTCGTGCAGAAGCATAGTGACAGATCAAGTCGGCTTCTGTTCCCAGGTGATTACAACGCCGACCTTGCCAGGTGTCGTGCCTGCTTTGCTAAGCATACTGACTTCTCTCATTTAGGCTACCTTGAGTTTTGGATTTCCAGATGTCCAGAACTTCCAAAATCTCCTGACTCTCCACAACATCCGAAATGGTCAGTAGGCAAGTCCGAAAATGAGTGTTTTGGTTGGGTTAACCTATGAAATTGTGCAGCTTTGGAGGCTTTGTAAAGTAGAACAGAGAGTTCTGGACATTGGGGAAGTGTCGGAGACCTTGATTTAATGCATGCATGCATACATGGTGTGTGGGTGTGTGTGTGTAGATCTGTTTACTGTTGCCTTTTGAGGCCTTCGCTGCGAGAGATGGTGACCTGTTATGTGGCCCGCGAGCACAAGTTCACGGGCAGGGTCCAGTTTGCCTCTTTGCTGCTGGCGTTCAATGAGACTCTTGGCATATAGGGGTTCTGAGGTGTTTCGTAGCACTCATTTGCCTTGTGCCAGCTTTGACTGATCAGGGCTTGGCTTGAGCTCTGCTCTAGGCCCAGGGATCCGTGTTGGCTTGGTAGGGCACACACATGAGGGTTTTCCCGGAAGTGTTGCGCCGGGTGATTTGAGGAATTACGTGAAGGGCCAGTCCGAGGAAAACATCGTCAAGGTTCCCTGGCATGAGGCATCTTGAGGCCAGCAGCTCGTCCTCGTGTGATGCTTAGGTGCTGGAGGTGTTGCCACGAGTCTATCCACTCGTGCTCGGAGAGCTGGACCCTCGTCCACCATCCGCGAAAACTCAGGGAAAGGCCGGAAACCAGCTAGGAGCACTTCGCTTCCTGCCTGCAACGACGATCTCCGTTGTGAAGTGGCAGTGGAACATAGTGGAACTGAACAGACCAAGGCTTTGCGCCGGGCCACTATCTGCAGATGATGGATGCGAACATGGGTGCCTTCTTCGGGGAGGCCTTCCCCCCCCACGACCCAGGTCCTTCACATGCGCAACCGCGCGAGCCCAGGCCTGCAAGGTGCCCTTCGTGCTGCGCCATTTCCAGCCTCCGGGCTGTGACCGCAGGTCCGTGGCCTCAAATCGCAGAGCAACTCGCATGAGCGATGTGTTCAGGACGGTCCAAGCACGCATCATCGGCTTCCGTGAGCACATCTTCACTGGAAGCCACGGTGCAGTAGGTGGCCACCCTTCACAGCGTTCCTGTTCTGGTTCGCGCATGAATCTTGAGAGGTGCTGCCATGGCTGACGCAGAGTGGACCTTCGGAACTATTTGCCAGCGTTTCCTGGCGGGGCTTGGTGCACGAATGCACTACGGGAGCCTTGCCTGCAAGAGACACCTTTGAGGTGTCCAAAGGGCAAGGAACAGCTGATGCTGAGTCTGTCAGAGTGCCTCCTGTCCTCAGGCATCCCGACTTCTTCGATGCCTTTTGGGCCTCCAACCGCGGTTCTGTCTCGAAAGCATCTCCCATCCTGAACCTTTCCGAAGACATCTTTGCTGGTTTCAACGTGCTGATGCGCCGCTATGCTGCATAGTGGGTGCGGGGTCCGTTACAGTCGCAGCAGGTGTTTTGGGCAATCTATACAGAAGACTGATTGCCGTCGACCTCAGGTGGAGAAACCTCGAAGCATGTGGACTGCCTAGAGTGGGAGAAAGGCAGAGAGGTGTCCTTCAACTCTGCATCCTTGTTCTTTACCAAAGTGGCCAGCGGCAATGTCGGCGTCATGCGTTCAAGAGATCTGAAGATCCTGTGCTTCGGCTGATCTTCGGCTCTGGGTGCGATCTGACGTCGTTGACGAGTTTTGTCCATCTCGAGTTCGGTTGACTCCCTCATGACTGGTCGTACAGGACGGGCAGCTTGAACATAGCCGACAGCTTCTCCTTCTATTTTGCATCAGTGGGGTTCTACCTGTACAACGTCGTGACAGACCTTTCCATGAGGATTTATGCTGCTCAGCAGAACGTTTCGTGTTGTGATTTAGCTGTTGCTGTTGCCGTGGCCTCCGCAGAGGTCGTGATCTTTGTCCTCTTGACCCTGTCCTCAAAAAGTCTCGATGATGTTGGCAAGTTGGACTCTCTGCTGGCTGCTGAATGGGTTATTTCCTTCGGAACGCTTGCGATGTTTCTTGGCAAGCCATGCTTGGCACAGGAAGTGGCAAGTTCTTCACTGAACTTTGTGGGATTGTGTGCATACGGTTCGTTTCAGGTTCCCGCGTTTGATGGAGCTGACCTTGGAATTTGGAGTCATGGAGGGCATCATCCGTTTCCTGCCCTAGCCTTGGCTGTGAGTCACACTGGCACGGGGCGGCTCCCCTCACATGTTTAGAGAGGGTGGCTACATAGTCTCGAACCGAGGCCATCTGTGCCAGGCGCGGTGCTCGTGTGCTGGCCTCGGGCAGTGTCTTAGAGCTGCCATGTGCAACTTCAGGTCGCTGGAGGTCGGCCATTTTCTGCCTTCCAAGGTTCACTTTTATGAACAAGTCCATCGCAGAAGCTGTGGGCTCAACGATGCAAACGGGCCTGGCGAACTACATCTCCACTGGGCGGCCTATGGCGAATGACCACTACGGTTGGCGAAACTTGATTGAACCAAAATTCGTGCGCTGGTGATCTTGACAGCATACTTAAGTCCAGGAGATTGCTACTTCTTCTACAGAGTCGCTTGCCCTTGATTTAAAGCGCACCCTTCTGCAATCTCTTGTGCTTGCCCGCCGTCGTCAGAGCGGGCGTGTTTATCGAGGAAAGTCATTACTATCCTGCCCTGCGAATTCTGATCATGTATGCCGTTTATAGGCCTGCCAGCAACCAGCCGATTCCTTGCGCTGACAGTTCAGATCAGAATTTCAGTCGACGTCGTAGGTTCTTGGCAGAGACTTTCAACGTCGCTGCGCTGCCCATGATGATTCTGCTGGCTACAGCCGTGGATCCTTGGAGTGTAAGCCGGGGGGCTTCGGAAGTATGAAACTCACATGTCTCCGTTGATGGCGCAGACAATGCTGTCACAGTTACCCCGGTGGCAGTGTTGTGGACATCATCAGTTAAGGTGTGGGTCGTTGGGCCTATCCTTTTCTGCCCACAGCCAACCCTATGGTCGATTCGCCCTTTGTCTGACCCTGGAGGGAATGCAGTTTGGGACACGGTCAATCTTACAAGTTCGTCTTGGATAAGCTCCGGAGACTTGCATGTCGGGGAAGGTGCAGGCATATGTAGATTCGTGATCGGAACTTCAAGCCGCGAGGACAAGACTTGTTCGAACCCGGCTGTGAGTTGGGCTTTGTGAGAAAAGACGGCTGTGGAGGCCTTGCATGCTGGGGTCTCTCTCAGGCGACGATTTGTCCGAGTTTTGGTGCTTCATAGTCGGGGCGTCCAATGCTGATCGCAGCCTGGCCTGCAGCGACGAGGGTGCTGCAAGTTCAGGATGGACCTGTTTTTATGTTTGCTGCTGAGGCCACATGGACACCAAAGTGGTAAATCTTGAGGAGCGACTTGCAGCGAACAAGGCCGATCCCCGAGCGAACTTATACGATGCTGCACGGCTGCAGACGGGTTGAGGATCTTCAGGGCTCAGGGGCCAGACAGCAAGCACAAGAGGGAGCCAAAGCAGGTGCAAAGCAAAGACTCGTACCCTCAAGTAACGCAGTTGCGAATGCAGGACAAGACTTCCTGATTCAGAAGGGAGCACTGGTCCAGCTGAGGTCTGGTTGTTCGACAAGCTGAAACACAAGCGGGCCCCTGTCTATGCCCGCATGATGGAGCTCGCCGTTGCACTTTATTTCTTTGTTGTCATGCTCGCGGTCGAGGCCTCAAAGTCTGATCTGTCAGACCCAATTGAAAAAAAACCTGCTGCACTGCGGTGTCGGGGTCAAGGTAGTCTTTGGCACCATGGTGGATCAGATTCGATCTGTTGTGCTACTGATCTTGGTGAACTACTTTATTCTGGCATTGTGGCGTGTCAGCGGCAAGCCTACTATCCTCATGCTGCTGGGGCAGCAGCTAGTGAGCTAGTGGCCACCACATGCTTCAACTGCTTGTGTCTCTTCCTGGTAGGCCCAGCATGTAAGGATGGTTTCCGGCGTATTTTGGATATGTTCTGTGCCTGTGGTGCTGAACAGCCAGTCCTTGGGAGGCAGCTCCGTGTCCACTCAAAGATAACGATAGTACGTATAACAGTAGCAGCAATAGTAAGATTGTCCGAGTGTGAGTGTCAGAAGCATACTTGGCAATAGTAGCCGCAGCCACACCTGTATTGTCTAATATAGTAATAACAGCGATCAAACCATACTCACTTTGCGCTCCTTCTGAATTTTGCAGGGCAGTATGGCACGCTGCTCGTGGCCTTCATCCTAACGTTTCAAGGCCTCACAGTCATCGAGAAGGCAGGAATCTGGCATTGACTCCATCTTCTTGCAGAGAACTCAACCCCTCTTCGCAATTCTCTCGAAGACCTGCTTGTTCCAGGTGAAGCGGTCGGTAGTTCTAGACCCCCGAAACCAAAACCTCAGCCAAAACGAGCCGCCAGTCGCTGCTTCTTCTGGCTTGGGCTGTGCTGCGGCCGGACCCAAACTGCGCCTCCCTGCCCGAAGCCACATCGGGAGAGCGAGCACAGAGACCCGGCTTGCACGGAGAAGGAACGAGAGGAAGGAAGGAAGAGGGAGCTGTTCGCCCCCTAAAGAGCCGGCACATCAACAGTGATTGGACCGAGGAAAAAAGATGCAGCTCGAAAAGTCGAACGGTACGATCCCAGTCTCGGTTATGTCTTCCGTTTGTTTCTGCATCTTGCTGCTCAGTGTTCTGTGTTGCAAGCTGCGTGTGAGCTTGTTTATGAGGATGCACTCGTGGAATACCTGTACCTGAACTTAATGTCTTATCAGTGGCACCTTTATGTCTCAATCATGCTCCTGGCGGCGAACTTTGTGACACAGCTCTGTGTGGCAGTTTTAGAGATGAGCCTTGTCTGCAGCAGTTGATGATGAGGGTGCCCGATGCTACTTGTTGGAATATGAGCTTCTGGCTATCGCCGGGTGCAAGACCACTTCGGTCGATTTGTTCCGGCTGTCAGTCGGACGGCACTTCGGACCACATCATTCTGAAGTCCCCAGCAGTTGCCCTGCAGAGCCCAGGCTTGGAGGTCTTCAGTCTTGGTGGTTGCTCGGTGGCAGACCCACATCCACACCCACACCCAGACCCAGACCCAGACCCACATCCACACGCACACACCCACCCACCCACCCACCCACCTACCCACCCACCCACCGTCTTGGAACCCTATAGACCAATCCGGGCGAGGCCTCCTGCTGCCACAGTCGCCTGGACAGCTGCCTGCGGAAACGAGCGCTGAAGCGGCAAAGCGATTTTTTTGGGATCAGGGTTTAGGGTTTAGGCAATGGGGATCCTGGGCTGAAGCTGGGGATCCTGGGCTGAAGCTGCAGAGGGATTGTTGGGATCTTGGGTGCTCATGCGGCTTCAGGGATTTAGAGGATGCCTTGACAGGTGCACCTCTTGGGTTTGCTTTAAGTAGGGGTCGGTGGGCCATGGAGTGTCGTTCTTCATCAACCATGCTTTCATGAAGCAAGGGTTCTTTTTCTAGTCTTGCAAGGGTGTGATATGGATCTCTGGGACACTGGGATTCAGTTAGGGCGGATTGGTGTTAGGATTTCGGCCTCTTCGCAAGTTGTGGGCCGTGGGTGTTTGGGGTTCTAAATTTGTTTGGCGCTTCCAATGGAGATCGCTTCCTGGTGCGGAATCCCGGCTGACCGTCTACGGTTTAGGGTTTAGGGTTTAGGGTTTGGTACATGGCATGGTGAAGTACCTACAGTCTCCATTGCACTTCCTTTTTCGTCAACCAGCTTCTGTGATTAGGACACCCTCATGAAAAAATGATTAACAAAAAAAGGGAACTACAATGGAGACTATGCGCATATTTTCTCGAACTTGTCTAATAGAGGTGAAGCTGCGGAAAGCAAAGGCTCGACAAAAGCTGCGACTTCTGTTAATGCAAGTATCCGAGGTCCTAGCTCCGTCCGTACTTATGGAATTCTCAGGCTTCGGGAAGGTACAGGCAGTTGTGCAGCGCAGACACGCAAGGCTTCAATTTTCCTTTCTAGCAGCGCCTTGCCGGCAAATGATGATGTGGGCACCAGGCGGGGTGTAACTCTGTATTCAAACCCTCATTTGCAGATACTTTCCAGCACCTCTCAACACCACACGCGGCCGTGCTATGGTATCTTGCTAGCTAGAACTTTACGATGGGTAAGAGTAGCTAACCCTCAACAGTTCACGTACCAACAACTCCTTTACTCCCCGTAATACCAACCTCCACAAAAGCTAAATAGCTGCTCATAATTCTGTACCTCGGATCCTTGGAGTGACTTCAGACACACCTAAACACCCTAAACCCCCAAACCTCAACCGCAAAGCCTAACTGCCCCCAAAACATAAATCCTAGACCCCTGACCCTCAAACCCTAACCCCTCGAAGTGCACCCAAACTCCGCAGCCGTCTCGGAAGCTGCGGAGGGGCGAGTTTGCAGTAGAACCAGTCAGCACCAGAAGCCCAGTGTGAAATTTAGGGGAACTCACTTAGGCATGTGTTAGGTTGCTGTCTTTAACCAAAATTGATGTCAAACAAACTCATGAACATGTCAATGCCGCAGGCCAATAAGAGCTGTAGATTTTAAGCTGTAACAAATTAGGATCCTTATCATCGGGACCCAAAATAACTCAGGTGCCACTAGATTCTGCGAAACCCTATGCAACTGGGCTTTTGGGGAAAGGTCGTCCTTGAAATCCCGGTGCCAGCCGTCAGACATTTTCGTGAAGTGAGTTACCTGCCAAGATTAATATAGTATAGTATAGCACGGAATAGTAGAGTACAGTACAGTATAGTACAGGACAGTATAATACAATACACACAGTATAGTATAGTTTAGAGTTTAAGGTTTCGGTTTTTTGGTTCAACTGGCGTCGTTCTCGCCATGCTCGGAAAGGTCTACGCAAATTAAGGTATCTCCCAGGTGCTACCTCGACTCGCACGTGTACCTCCTTTACGGACTTCCTTGCCATATTGCAGGATCCAACCCACCTCCCTAAACCCTAAATCCTAAACCCTAAACCCTAAATCCTAAATCCTAAACCCTAAACCGTTAAAGAACACATTTGGGTACGAAGATCGGGCTCCAAGGAAACCAGGAGCCCAGGGCTTTCAGCTCCAAAGCGTCAAAGTAGCAACTTTCTTCACTACTCAGTGTTAATGTAGGGGCCTAGATGATTACCAACACTATTTTGGTGGCTCCTTATTATAATTATAGTATAATGGGCCCCAAAACCCTATTATTAAGGCCCCTATATTAGTCTTCCGGGTGGCAGTCCGGCCGCGGCCACACTAAAACCAAAGAAAAAACGCCGAGCCATCCTGGAGCCTTCCATGTCTTCGGCTCATATCCAGAAATACAGGGGGGCCCTTCACAAAAGTGTATATGTTTGGTATACTTTCATAATAAGGTAGAGCCTGATTTGTAAACCAGCCCCTTACGAGCGGGCGGGAGGTTCTGAATCAACGTCAAATTCAGCAACAACGACTCTGGTCTTCTTAGAGTGTGTATAACCTCCGTGATACTTGTATCTGTGTAAAGAGATCGACAGAAAGACAGATGGCCACACAAGTTAGATTTGTCGATATCTGGGTTGTAGTTTTGGGGCCCTCAAAAGTATTTCTGCATAGGTACCTCTAGAGGAACCCTAAGAGGAAATCAACAAAATTCAACAGTGCAACCTAGATATAGATATATATATATATGTATATATATATGTATATATATATATATGTATGTATATATATGTACATTTATATATATATACACATATATGTATGTATGTATGTATGTATGTATGTATGTATGTATGTATGTATGTATATGTATGTATAGATAGAAAACCTAGGGCGTAAGCGCTTATTCATGCTTCCACAACGTGGCTTTGTACATGGACTCCCTTGTGACACTTTCCGCTGTTGCCGGGATCTCATCCGGACGGCACCAGAGAGCACTGTTGCTCCGTTTTTGCACATTCTGCAGCTAACACCCGCGCGCACGCCCAAAAGTCCAGAGGGCACAGTGTGCTGGAAGCACATCCCTAAACCCTAAACCTCCGAAGAATTGCGGCACTTGCGTAAAGACTTAGAGACTGGTGACAGACCCAAGCTCGAAACTAGGCCTCCCCAAAAGCGCATAAACCTGAGGATGTTTCTGGAGCCTCAAAGGTGGGATCTGCATGTTCTAGCCGCTGCCTATGAGGCACCCGCAAAACCCCTAAACTCCCGTCTAGCAGTAGGGCTGCCCGCAGCCTTGCATCCCTGCACGCCAGCATCCTGAGATGGTGCCTTCAGAAAACCCTACATGGCGCCCCTGTGGCAGACGCACAGTACTTGCATGCCCTGATGCAAACAGCAGAGCAATGACACTCTTCGAAGTCTTGCCAACTTCAACATCTGCAAGTTAAGGGCCATTACGAATGCAAAGGCGAAAAAGCTCTCTGTCTGGGTTCCTCTGAGGGTCTAGGGTTGTTGAGGGTCTGATTTTAGGGTGCAGGATTTAGACTGCAGGATTACAGATCTGACACGCTTGCATGTGCGGCTTCCACTATTTGATGTAAGCTTAGCCGCTCGGGCTTGCCAGAATTAGGGTCTACGACTTAGCGCTTGAAGGCATGAAACTTACATATGTGCAAAGACGGCAAGGTGTTTCTTGTACGACGGTTCATTAGAAGCTTACTCATGTATGCGCTCATTTGCATCTAGCCTGTTCACTTCTGCTGTTTCTATATAGGAATCATAAACTTCTTGTGTGTCGTACAGACATGTGTTGAAAGGTTCGGCGATTATATGTTAGTTGACATCACGAGATTCAACCTGCGGCGGTGCCTCCTGCACCCGGGCGCGCCGGTCCATAATATCAGGCAGAGCAAGAAAGTCTTGGACTCGATTTGTAAGACTCTTTCGCGTTTGACACTCAGCTCTTAGGGCATTGAGCGTTTAGGGTTTCGGGCTTAAGGTTCAAAGTTTGGGTACTTAGATTAGAGTGTCGGGATTAGGGGTTGAGCCTCACGGCAGTTCTACCTCTAGTCACTCTAGTCTCCATTGTAGCTCCTTTTTGAGGTTACCTTGTAGGATCCTAATTTAATGGAAAGTTGGTTAAACCAAAATACGGAACTGCAAAGGAGACTTGACCAGAGGTCCTCTAACTCGAAGTCGTAAGCTGCCAAAACCAGAACCCAACCCCCTTCCGCCCTAAACCCTAAACCCTCAGCCATAAGCCCTAAACCCTAAATCCAAAACCCCAAATATACCCCGAACCCTAAACCCCAAATCCCAAACCCCAAATATACCCTGAACTCTAAACCCTAAATCCACAATCCCAAATATACCCTGAACCCTAAACCCCTAAACCCCTGAACTCTAAACCCTAAACCCGAAATAGCCGGCCCTTCGACGGACTACGCCCAAACTCTTTCATTGGGGAGTTTAGGGTTTATGTGGGTTTGGGTTTTGAGCGATTTAGGGATTTAGGGTTTAGGGGTTTAGGGTTTATTTCGGCTTGGGGTTTTTAGGATTTAGGGTTTAGGGTTTGGGGGTTGGGTTAAGTTCCGGGTACAGTCAACTCCAAACCCAAACCCCTAAACCCGAACCTGAAAATGTCCTAGACTAAACCCCTAACCCACACCAAGGTTGTCCATAGACCCCCCCCCCCCCCAAGTTTCTCTTGAGCAGGCAGGGAAGCTAAGGCTCAGAGGGATCCTACACCCGAAACGCCCAGAGTTTAGGGATTAGCTTGGGTGCTGCCCCCTCAATACAGCAACAGTCTATAATAGGGCTACTTTTCGCGGCCTTATATATCCAGATTATGAATATTATTCATCTGTGGCAGTATCCAAGGTTTAGGTGTGTGGTGTTTGGGACTTAGTCTAGAATACCTGGGAGCAATGCAAAGAGCTAGACAAGAAGACGACAGGCTGAGTTGCCTAAACGCTGGACCACCAGCGCTAGCTACAACCTAAAAACCGAAACTTTCCTCGACCCCCAAGCACTGCGGACCACAAACCTTACCTTTGGTTAATAGGGAATGGAGGAATGGGAACTATTATTAGTACCATTACTACCATTCTTCCATTCCCTACTAACCAAAGGACCCTAAACCCTAAACCCTAAACCCTAAACCCAGCTTGAATTCAGTCCAGGACAAGAGGGTCCTGCCAGTCGTCATTATCTCGGTTCTCATCACGATCTTCCTTGCTGTCTGAACGGGGTTTCGGGTCCAGTGTAGTGCTGAGTCAAGAATGTGTACATATGTATACACACAATCCGTATGCAGTATATAGTATATAATATAGGGCTTCGGGTTCACGGTTCTGCGGGGTTCTACATTCTACAGAGTGCGAGCTGGCCTGTATTTAACAGCTAAAGGCTTTGGAATCAAGGGTTGCATAGGTTTTCATTCTGCATGCTTCTATATCGGTCATGGGCATTTCGATGTAAATGATTTGAAGCCAAAAGCATAATTGCCCTTCAACCCCCGATACAACATAACCATTAGAATAGACCCTGAATGTACACCTATTTATCCCCCCTCCCTTCATAAGGATTCTAACAAGGGCTCTACCGGAGGAACCTTTCATATATCAGGGGCTTACACTAGCCGACTCGGGCCGTAAAGGGCACCATTCCTATTATCCCATGGCTACTACGGATTCCGACCCTAAACCCTAAACCCTAAAGGCCCTAAACCCTAAACCTTTTCTGAAACCTTTGGGGCGGAGGGTTCTGTGAGTTTTGGACTTTCGGGCTCAAGGCCTTCAAGCTTTGGGTTTATCGCTTCAAGGTCTGTGCTCCAGTACCTTAGGGCTTAGGGTTTAGGGTTTAGGGTTTAGGGTTGATATAAGCTGTTTTGAACTCCTCTGGCTTAGGGAGAGTCTGGGTGTTTCTCCTCACGTTCCATCCGAGATGCAATGGCCGTCTGAACGGCGTGGAGCAGCAATGTCAAGTCTTCCAAGCCCATCTCCTGTTCCGGGGTTGAAGGGCCAGGCGTCGTATGTAGGATAGTATAGATAATTGATTAGAACACGGCTTTGGGCTTTTGCCATGATTAAACAACACTGAAAGAGAACATTATTCCTTAGTTCTTCCGACCCCTACGTTATTGGTAGTTCTCTAAATTAGGATCTCTTCTTAGGTCCCCAATATAGTACGGCACCCTTATAAAAAGGACCCTAAGTTAAACAACTACCCTTATGTGAGTGCATTGCCAATGAATCAGGATGACGGCTGCAGCTTATAGGGTTGTCGACAGTTAAACATAGAGATCCCAATACCCTATTCAAGAATTCTGCCAAAAACTCTAGTAGGCCTTAATATATCATGACGGATGGTATATTCTTGAATTCTAGGGGCCATAATAATATGCTGCTTTAGGGTACATTCCTTAAGTAAGGGGTAGTGGGTTCTCTGGGAAGCTTGAAGTCTTGGCTACCGCCATGCCAGGGTCCCCCAGTACTCGGCTCATGCCTGGTCATCCCCCTTGGTAAACTGGATAGTCTAAACCCTAAACCCTAAACCCTAAAACCTTAAACCCTAAGACCCTAATCCTAAACCCTAAACCCTATCGTTTTCTGCCTGCCGTTTGCCTTCCAGACAAGCTCCCTCTCAGAGCCGCCAAAGATAAACCCTTAATCGAACACTTGTCACCGTCCTTACATTGCAAACCCGAATCCTAAACCCTAAACCCTAATCCCTAATCCTAAACATCGAACACTACCCCAGTTTGGCCGTACATCGCAAACCCTTTCAACCCTAAACCACCGAAGCTCTGAATCCAAAAATCCGAAGCACCCCAATTTGGGCCGTAGGCAGCGCGGATGCCTCGATATCGCCGAAGATTGCCTTGTTTGGTTGGGCGTTTAGCGTTTAGGGTTTAGGGCAGAACCGACTACGGTTTGGCTTGGAGGATGTAGACGTTGCGACTCTAGGGAATTAGGGCTTCCAGGGATTAACAGCTGTATGCTTGGATGTTGGGTTCAAAAGATTAGGGCGCAAAACTGGACTTTCGGATTCGCGAGATTTGGGTATAAGTTCGGAGTTAGGGTGCAGGAGAATCGGGTGTAAGTCGTCGATCGTGTGCAGATCGGGTGTTTGGGTCTCATGCCTTTCGGGTTCCATCATGCTTCTGTGGCTTCGGAGCTGGCATCTACGGCTTACCCGGTTCAAGGTTCCAAACATCCAAAGGGTTCAGATGTGAGCTTGAGGGAATGGTGGCTTCAAGAGCAATCTGAACCCTAGACCCAAACCCTGAACCTAGACTCATCAACAGTCTTGGCTTGCTGATGGCCCCTTTGATGATGTACCTGAGGCTTTCAAGGCGCCACGCCAACACCATCTGTGAGTGTTTTCTGGCACCGTGCCATGCTATGGGAATGATGTCCTAGACAACCCTAAACCCGAAACCCTACCCTACTCCCCTGCGTGTTTTCATGACATGAACCTGCTTCTTGTGCGACTTTTCTGGGGCAAAGACATGTCAAATCGGGACAGAGAGCCCAACACCCCCTCAACCAACGCATGCACCTGAAAGGGTTTAGGGTTGAGGGTTTACCTTGACCCCAAGGAACCTACCTTTTTTTAGGACTTAGCCATAACGAACCATACTAAGGAACCCCCCAAAATGGTAGGTTAATTGGGGTCCAGGTAAGGTTTAGGAGGGATCCTGGGACTTATTTACCGGCATAACATAGGGCCCTTGATAACTAGAATAGGGTTTGAGGGTATATTATACCATAATTATAGTAAGGAGCCCCCAAAACCCTAACCCTATTCTAATTATGAAGGCCCCTACATTAGTCTCGAATTACGGGGTGTTGGGCGCTGTGGGCCTGAGCCGGAGTCCTGAACTGAAATCCGAGGACATGGGCAGTTAGAATGTGGGAGTTGTGAGGTATAGTGCAACAGACTTAGGACAAAGAACCTTCAGGAATACTAGTACTGCGTATCACCTAGGTCCTACAGTCAGCCTTAGACCCTACACAACCAACATGGCCAAGGCACTTTCATCTCCTCGAGGAATGCCTCGGACCCCAGGATTGTTTCATAAGATCAAGATATCGGGGCTTTGGGGTTGTGGGTTTAGGCTCGGGTTTAGGGTTGAGGGTTAGAGTTTGGGGGTTTAGGGTTTAGCGTTAGGGCTTAGGGGGTTGAGGGTTTAGGCTAGGTCGGTTTAGGGTTTAGGGGGGCCCTTGGTAGGAGATTCCCCAACCCCTGAACCCTACAACCACCCAAAAGAAGTAAAAGGTACTTACTACGTGGGGACCCCAACCTAAATCCTAAAGCCATGACAGAGGGGCAACAGGGGCAACAGGGGCACCAGGGGCACCAGGAGACACAGCCTTAACATGGTTTAACCCGAAACCCAACCAACGAAACACAACACAATGGCATCCCAAAGCCCTGAAGCTGCTAGAAACGGAGTACATGCGTAGTTACCTAAATAAGGTCCCGAGAACGTCCCCAAAATGGTACGGCACCCGGATGAACAGGACCCCAACAAGTACCCCTCTTATAGTACCTTTCTAGACACCCCAACAGAAACACGTGTAGATCCCTTTAATTTAAGGAACCCTCAAGGGCACCCTAACTTAGAGAACTCCTCACAGGGGGAGCCAGGATGCCTGGAAGCTTTCTGATTCCTCCTGATCTTCTTCCGCGGCTTTTGGAGCCATGAGTACCTGAGTCTAGGACATTTTCAGGTGGGTAGGTTTTGTTATAGAAGCCTTTAAGGTGGTCTATATACCTTATAGAAGCCTTATAGAAGCCCTATATACCCTAAACTCCCCCTGTAGTTTCCTTTAACTGAGTGGGTCGGGGCCTGGGCTACTTTGCAGGTTAAGGGCTCCTAGTAGGAGACAAGGGGTTTAGGCTTAGGGGTTTAGGGTTTTCTGGTTCTCTGTTGGGGCCCTATTAAAAATGATCATTTTTAATCCTTCTTGGGGTCGTCTTATGACAAAAATGTAAAATTGTATCCAGCAAGGACCCAGTTTAGGGGTTTAGGAGTTGTGGGTTGGGGCTCTTTATAAGGGATCTTTGCAGGGGTCTTAAGTTCGTGTTGAGGGTGCAAATAATGTTGTTGTAAGGAGGGGCTGTGCAATTCAAACAGAGTTTGGGGACCACCACTACCACCACTACGACGAGGAGGACGACGACTGCTACCATCTTGCTTGTTATTCGGTTTATGCATATCTATATCTATCTATCTATATATATATATACACATACATACATACATACATACATACATACATACATACATAAATACATAAATACATACATACATACATATATATAATATAACAAATATTATATTACATTATATATATTATTATAATATATTATGTTATATTATATTAAATTATACTATATTATATTTATATATACATTATAGTTAGATATGGAACCCGCAGAATAGTTTCTCATATTAATGCGGCTTTACTGGGTCTTGCTAGGGTTTACTCGAAGGGTGTGTGGCTGCAGGGAATAGCATGGATAGCTTCAAGCACGGGTGATTTTCTATACGGTTTAGGGCTCAAGTTCAGGGTATTTGTGGTAGGGTGATAATTTAAGCCGAAAACTACTGGTGACCTGCCCAGCTACTGAGATTTAGGCTGCTGCGAACCACATTCACCACATCTTATAGACAGGTCACAATGCATGAACTCCTCCTAAACATTGGCCCTAACCCTACGACACAAAAATCACAGTCACCTTAAACCCTCAACCCTGTCAAAGAAACTTGCAAACACCCCTATGAAACCCGTTAAAGCCCGATGCAGAACCTGAATAAACCACCTACAGAAAAGGTCCTAATCCTTGAACCCATAGACCCCAAATCCGAGACGTAGCCGAAACTCCATGACAACGTCCCAGCCTGAACTCTAAACCTGAATTCGAAATTCTGTAGGGTCTAGGGTTTAAGGGAGCCCTAAACCCCCCTTAAATTCTGAATCCTAAACCCTAAACCCTGAAACCTGAATCTCTCAAATTCTGAATCCTAAAAACCCTAAACCCTCAAACCTGAACCTCTTAAATTCTGAATCCTGAAAACCTAAGCCCTAAAGCCTTAAACCCCTTCCCAAACTCCCACATAAGCCAGCTCCCAGCCGCCATGCTCATCTCGGGGTGGGCGTGATCCCGATCGGCCAACACTTGGCTTCCAGCGAACCTTCAGGCTTCAATGGGGCCCATTACACTATAACTAAGGAACCCCCCAAAATAGTATAGGTAATTATTTAAGTCCCTACATTAACATACTCCCTTAAGTTCTAAAGGGGCCTCTGGGTTCCCAGCTTTTCGGGCTTATAGGGTTCAATTAGGGTGCAGGGCTTTTAAGGTTTAGGGTTTAGGGTTCAATTAGGGTTTAGGATGGTTTAGGGTTTAGAGTTTCGGGCTTTAGGGGTTTAGGGTTTAGGGTCATAAGGCTTGGCAGTTTAGGGCCTTTAGGCGGTTTCAAGTACGTGATTTGCGCTTTGGCTTTTGTGTCTTCGGGTGTTTGTCCGTTTAAAAGGGTTCAGGGCCTGGGGCTTGCGCTTTGGGATGTCTTGTTCGGGGCCCTCCGAAGCACTCGCCTATGGGGCCCTTATACTATCGCAAAACGGCTTGTTGGCTTCTCTCCAGCCGAAGGGTCCAAGTCCTTCACATGATAAGTTTGGGGTTTAGGGTTTAGGGTTCATGGGGTTCAGAGTTCAGGGTAACAGACTCCCTAAAGTTCCAAACAGCAAGTACTGCTCTGCCATCCTGAAACCTTTACCCCAAAGAACACTTCTCAGAAGCCCCGATTCGGCTTTGGGGGAAGCTAAGGGTCTACCCTAAACCCTAAACCCCAATACCCTAAACAATAATCGCCTGTCATGCCGGGGGTTTTGTGGCTTAGGATAAGCCTTCGCACTCACCCGAAGGGTCCACAGGGTACCAAAAGAATTAGGTCCTGGGGTAGCTTTGTAGGTCAGTATTTGGGAGAGTACCGGTGTAGGGTTTAGGGCTTAGGGTTTATAGGGTTTACAAGCCTTAGGGCTAAAAGGGTTTATAGGGTTTAGGGTTTACAGGGTTTGGGGCTGATTCTCAGGTCTGGGGCCCTTGAGGGTCGGGGCCAAGAGGCAAGGCCACGCGCGTTTCCTCGCAGGCGAACACCTCACAGAGGTTAAAAGGCTCCATAGTAGTTCCTTTTTAGGTATACCCATACGGTTTAGGGTTTAGGAGGCTCCATAGTAGTTCCTTGGTAGGGTTCGGTTACCTTATAGGATCCTAAATATAAACCACAAACAGGAACTACTATGGAGTCTGGAGGCTCAGCTGCGTGTTGCGTTGGGGTCGCCCGGCAACCCTGACCCAAACAAGGCCCAAAAACTAAACGCCTTAACTAGTTTAGAGTTTAGGGTTTTTAGGGCCAAATGAACGAACATAGGAGCCGACCCATCTATCAGAAAAAGCTAAGAGTCTATGCCAAGCTTGCTGAATGTACCAAAGAGGTTTCAGTGCTCCTGCTGCAACATATCCCCCAACCTGAGCATCTCAGTCCCAACTACTGCCTATAGAAGAGAACACTCGGGTTGAATATCTGCAAGATAGCAGGACCCAAAGTGGGAGACCAACCGTGGGATACTGATGAAGGCTCCTACATCACAGTCCTTCCCCGCTTTTGGTTTCCAGGTTGCTTGGAAACCCCATGCCCGAAACCCTAAACCCCTAAACCCCTAACTTACCCTAAACCCCTAAACCCCACACCCTTAAGCCTCAAAGCAGGGGCTTCAACAAGCGGCCCGAACAACCAGGACCGGGCTGGAGGCGGCATTTCCACAGCTCTAAACAGACGGACTCTAAAAGGATAGGTCAATCCTCTATCCTAAACCTTTAAGCCCTGAACCCCCAAACAACCTGGCAACCCAAACCTCCTCGAACCCCTAAGAAAGCCCATATCTCAAACACCAAACTCAAAATTTGGGGTAAGAACAACCGTTGTCTAAATCGCTAGCTCATGCAACACTCGCAACGAAGATCACACCAAAGTATAGTGAAACTGTACTATACTGCACTGTACTACACAATACTCTATTATAACATACTGTACGATACCATACTAGAAAATACTGTCATATGTAATTGGCACAAGCAACAAACGAAACACATCCGGGATTCCAACCTTGGCGAGCTTGGCGCGTGCCTGGCGCACGAGGCACGGCCTGCATAGGTAGGCTTGTACATGGATTACAGAAGCTTTTCGTTTTAGGTGGGGCTTGTTCAGGGTCCGACTTGATAAACCTTAAACCCTAAATAACCTAAACCCTAAATAACCTAAACCCTAAACCCTACATAACCTGAACCCTAAGCCCTAAACCTCTTACACAAGCGATGACAAAGTTCGACATAGTGCAGGAGCGTCAGGGCGGAGAGGCTAACAAAGGGTTTTGTGTTTTTTTTTGAGGGCTTTTTGCGGGCTCTTAAGCAGGGTCCTATACGGGCTCCATACGGGTTTTATGGCGGGTTTGAGGTTCGGGCTTCACATCTACAGCGAAAGCTGGCTTAGTAACTCTGGTTTCGGAAAGGGGATTGGGCGGTCTTGTGGAGGTTTGTAGGGAGGCAGCGTATGACTGTATTGGGATTCATTAAACGTTTTTTCCGAATTTACTCAAGACCGTGGAATAGCTCAATATTCCTTAGAGCCTTAGCGTTTTCGTGCGAAAGCTTGTGAAGAGCCAACCCCTGGACATCACAATCGGGTGGCACGCACAACAGTCTCAAAGTGCCGGCTGGTATCTGGCTTCATCGGAACCTGCAACCGAACCTGCCCTCGGTCCAATTCCTCACGAAGCCCTTCACTTACTCAAAAAATCTCCCCAAAACGCCTCTTCAAGGCAGAGGCCTGTGCAAGGTGAAGTCTGTCCGCTCGACAAACCCGGGCTCTGAAGCTTCCAATCTTGAACCTTAAAGCCTAAACCCTCAGCCCTAAACCCTAAGCCCTAAACCCTCAGCCCTAAACCCTAAGCCCTAAACCTTAAGCCCGAAACCCAAAGCCCTAAACCTTAAACCCTGAACTACCCTTTCATCATCAAGAAGGCCTAGCTCCTTTCAGGTCCACAGTTCCCTCCCTCAAGTCCAGAAACGCCAACCTACCCTTTTTCTGGGCTCCTTCATATGATCTCGGTCCATGTAGAGGTACTTTAAGTTAAGGGCTGCGTATATACTATATCTAGGACATTTTCAGGTG